GGCTCCGCCCGCAGCGCAACCTCTTTCCTTTTTTCCCCCCCACACCCCGCGCCGCCCCTCCTCGGCCCAGCCGGAAACGGGGCGGCAGAGGCGGGACCCAGCAACGGAAGCGCCCGCCCCACTTCCGGGTACGGCCCCAGCAACGGAAGGCGAGGACGACAGGCCCGCACCCAGAACAACTGAGGGAAAAGGGGTGGGGCTTCCAGTCTCTCGGGAGCCAATTAAATGGCCAAGCGAGAGGCGGCTTCCGGTTCCGGGGAAATAAAAGGAGAAGCGCGGGGCTGGGTCCGACAGTTGCTGAGGAGGTGCCGCCGCGGGGCTGAGGGAGCGCGTGCAGGTGAGGGCTAAGGTGGCGGCTCCTCCTCCCCTGGGCTTCGCTCTTCATCTTCTCGGGGTGTGGCCGGAGATCCCCGCTGCCCCTTCGGGCCCCGGGAGCGGAAGGGGGGTAGCGCTTTGTGTTGGGGCTGTTCTTTGTTCCTTCACTTCTATGGTTAAAGGTGTGTGTTGGGTGGTTTGTATTGGGGCATCCCTGCTGGGTGATACCTGTTGGTCCCCTCAGGTCTGTGGGAGGCACTGGGAAGGCTCTGTGCTTGTCTTCTTAGGGGCTGTGGTTATATATGTGTGTGTTTGGGGGGAATAAATAGCTATTTAAACACCTTCCTGGTGTCTTTACTCAGGCCCTGTGGGGTAACCTTTCAAGGCTTATCAGTGTCCCATCTCACCTTCAGTCCCTCAGCACTGCTGTCGGGGCTCCCTAACATATTAAATCCTTTCAGTATTACAGGGTGTAGCGGGGAGTACCAGGGTTCCCTGATGCTCCTGCTCTCTTCCCTCTGAGAAGGGACTCTGTGACCCTTCTGTGTCCCCATTTGCCACAGGCACAGTCAGTATGGCGGATGAAGAGATTGCTGCCCTTGTGGTGGACAATGGCTCTGGCATGTGCAAAGCAGGCTTTGCAGGGGATGATGCCCCCCGTGCTGTGTTTCCCTCCATTGTGGGGCGTCCCCGGCATCAGGGTGTCATGGTGGGCATGGGGCAGAAGGACAGCTATGTGGGGGATGAGGCCCAGAGCAAGAGGGGTATCCTCACCCTGAAGTACCCCATTGAGCATGGCATTGTCACCAACTGGGATGATATGGAGAAGATCTGGCACCACACCTTCTACAATGAGCTGCGTGTTGCCCCGGAGGAGCACCCTGTCCTGCTCACTGAGGCCCCCCTGAACCCCAAGGCCAACCGGGAGAAGATGACACAGATCATGTTTGAGACCTTCAACACTCCAGCCATGTATGTTGCCATCCAGGCTGTGCTGTCCCTCTATGCCTCTGGCCGCACCACTGGCATTGTCATGGACTCTGGGGATGGTGTCACCCACACTGTGCCCATCTATGAGGGCTACGCACTGCCCCATGCCATCCTGCGCCTGGACTTGGCTGGCCGTGATCTGACTGACTACCTCATGAAGATCCTCACGGAGCGGGGCTACAGCTTCACCACCACAGCTGAGCGGGAGATTGTGCGGGACATCAAGGAGAAGCTCTGCTATGTTGCGCTGGACTTTGAGCAGGAGATGGCCACAGCTGCCTCATCCTCCTCCCTGGAGAAGAGTTATGAGCTGCCTGATGGGCAGGTGATCACCATTGGGAATGAGCGTTTCCGATGCCCTGAGGCCATCTTCCAGCCTTCCTTCCTGGGCATGGAGTCCTGTGGCATCCATGAGACCACCTTCAACTCCATCATGAAGTGTGATGTGGACATCCGGAAGGACCTGTATGCCAACACTGTGCTCTCTGGGGGTACCACCATGTACCCTGGCATTGCTGACAGGATGCAGAAGGAAATCACTGCCCTGGCACCCAGCACCATGAAGATCAAGATTATTGCCCCGCCAGAGCGGAAATATTCTGTCTGGATTGGTGGCTCAATACTGGCTTCTCTCTCCACCTTCCAGCAGATGTGGATCAGCAAGCAGGAGTATGATGAGTCTGGTCCTTCCATTGTCCATCGCAAGTGCTTCTAGAGGGACTGCTGGCAGTCCTTGATGGGACACCTGCGGGGCATCTTCCTTAGACCACAATTGTTCGACTGTTACCAGTTTTTATGTTTAACTCATTTGCTGAGGTACTGAGTAGTGATGTGTGCATTTTAATGGTCCCTTAGGCTGTAGTTTCTCCTAGATCACACTGATAAGGATGACACTAAAGTTTAGACTTGTCACCTCTAGCTTTGTCACAACTGACTCCTTTGTAGGAAAACAAATAAACTTCACAGGCTTAAAAACTAGAAAAGGGTATTTTTGCTTTCTTTCAGTGTGGGCTCTTGATCTCCTTATCACAAAGAATTATCATTGGGTAGGTGGCTACAGACCCAACCTGGCCTGTAGCCACCTGCTTTGAAACTTGGAAAAAACAAAATTTGGGGTACCTTTTAAAGCTGCCTTGTGCTGTGCAGAGCCTTTTAGAGAGCTGTTGGGGAGGAAAGCTTGACTGGCATCTGGCTCTTGCAGCCTCTTCTGTACTTTCATGGTAACTTGGCTTTTTTTAGAAGGTGAAAGGCTCTTGTCGTAAAAATGTTGGCGGCCTGGCAGGGGTTCTGGAGCCAATCCGTAGCTTCCCCGTCCCGGAGCCGCCTCGCATTATGTACCGTGTCCCCCGGCGGACTCAATTTCCCAGGGTGCACTGGGCACCACGGCACTGCACTTCCGCTTCCGGTGCGCACCCTCTCCCCCCCCGGGGATGCGGATAGAGCGGAGCTGAGGCAGCGCCGGGCCGGGGCCTCGTCTGGGGGTCGCTGGGCTGGGGGCTGCCCCGCATCCCCCCCTCTCCTCCACCGTCTCTGTGCCGGGAAACGGGGCTTTAGCGGGGGGGTGAGGCTGGAGAGTGGCTCGGTGGTGGGTGTGTGTGTGCCTGCCAGGAGAACCGGGCCTTGCTCTTCACTTCTCTGCTTCCTCGGCTGGGTGTTGAGGCTGGCGGGGGTGTTTCTGCCTTCCCTGTAGCCTCAGGTACTGTTTAAGACCGAGGTAGGGACCTAAAAAGCACGGCTTCCTGTTGGTCAGGCCTCCTGTTAGCTTCCTGCATTCTTCCCAGCAAAGGTTCGCCCCGTGAATTCATGAGGTTTTGTTGCTTGGCTGGGCCAGAGTCTTACTTTGATTTGTTTTCTTCCCTTTCCAGAGCTTTGTGGGGCTTGGCTCTGTTCAGCGAGAAGGCTGAAATGTCCCTGCCGGAGTGGCACATCGCCGTGAAGCTGGCAGATCAGCCGCTGGCTCCCAAATCCATCTTGCGTTTGCCGGAGACGGAGCTGGGGGAATGCCCGCTGGGTGGGTGCAGCATCTCGTACCTTAAGCAGCTCATCACCGGCAAACTGCAGGAGTCTGTCCCAGACCCCGAGCTCATTGGTAGGTGCCTGCGTGGGTTGGGTCAAAGTCCTGCCGCTTGGGACCACCCTCTTCCTCTCCTCCCTGCAGCCGGGACACAACCAACCTACTGTCAGTGATTTTGGGCTGGTGGGGAGACTTGGCATAGCCAGATAGCACGGGGTGGAGGCTCAAAGCTTGTGCCAGCGACTCTGCTGGGCTGCAGCAGTCTTAGCACCTTGTGATTTTGATAGTTCTGCGTTTGCTTGGGATCACAGTGCTCCTGCAGCATCGGTGCCCTTGTTAAGAAGTCCTTTTGACTTGCTGACACTGATGCGTCCTTGTGAGATTTTTTATGAGAACATTGAGAGAGGTCAGCCCTCCCAAAGCAGGTGGCTACGTCATGTTCTGTGAATCTGAACTCCGTGGAGTCCCTGTGCTGCTTCCTGGATGAAGCACCTACATGTGTGGAGCAATAAACCCTGGGCAGTCCTCGTTTAAAGATCCTAGGCCCTGTCTGAGCATGCCACAGGTGTTTATCTTTAGATGTTTCCCTCTCCTAGACCTGATCTACTGCGGCCGTAAGCTGAGGGATGACCAGACACTTGATTTTTATGGCATCCAGTCTGGTTCCACTGTTCACGTCCTGCGCAAGTCCTGGCCTGAGCCTGATCAGAAACCAGGTGAGGAGGAGGCAGCGTGGGTTACCACTTGGATCTCCTCGGGAGGTGTTTGGTGTGGGTCCCTTGTGACTGAGGAACGGCTTCTCTTGTGGTTTGTTTCTGGGAGGCTGATTTGGGGTTTGCAGGAGGAATTGGTCGCTGCATTTGCGTGGGAGCTCCCTGCCTCTAACAGCAGCAAAATAGGTGTTATATTTTCTTGCTGATGGGAGAGCTAAGGAATGAGCTATGCAATGTGGAGAGTGAATATCCCTTCCTTAATTCACTATGATCAGGTTTTGGGTGTTGCCAGAGCATCGGGAACAAAGGAACTGGTGACTCAGCTTGAGGGATGAGCAGGCTTGTGTGTGTTTCTAGTCTGCCTGACTGCAGAATAAGATGGGTTAGTTTAGAGTTGTTAGTTTAATATAGCTCCTTTTCTACCTGTAGGAGGATATATCTATATCTTCTTATCTGTCTGGAAGCTGAGAGTGCAGCTCCCTGTTTTGCTGTGGTAAAGGTACTGAGATGTTCACAATCGTTAGTCTGTACCCTTCCTCTCTTGGTCAGTCAAATCCAGGGGAATTAAAGAATTGCCACCGCTTTTGTAGCATGGAAGTCCCAGTGGCATGTAAAATGGTTAGTAAAGCTGACATTTTGTCCTCTTGTTTTACCTCCCTCAGAGCCTGTGGATAAGGTGGCAGCGATACGGGAGTTCCGGGTCCTTCACACTGCCCTGCACAGCAGTCCTGCCTACAGAGATGCAGTGAGTGGGGCTTCATACTTTGCCATCTGGCTGTCTTTTGTCTGTCCCCTATCTATGAAGAAAGTCCTTGTTGTGCGATGCTGCCAGTCTGCTCCAATTTCTCTTGTAGGTCTTCAAAATGCTGGGGAACAAGGAGTCGCTGGATCAGATCATTGTAGCTACTCCTGGCCTTAGCAGCGACCCTGTTGCTTTGGGTGAGTCCAGATGTGGTCCAAAGGATCTGAGGAAAGCCAAATAAAGATAGTCAGCATTTAACTCCTGACACGGGGAAGGGAGAGTTCCCCTTCTCTGGAGAAAAGCGTCTTTTTGAGTTCCTTTGTGGAGCATAAGAGTAAGCGCCTGCTCAGGTGTCAGAGTTGTGCTCTCTTGATAATGCTTGGGGATGAATGCTGGCTTTGAATGGGTCAGGGAGCACGGAGCCTGAAGGGGAGTAGCGGCGATGGATGCTTTTCCTCTGCTGCAAAGTGTTAAGAAAACATGTTAAATCTAGCGTGCTTGTTCTGGTCTGGGATGTTATAGCTTTTTTGGCACATCACTATTCTATGAGGCAGGTGGAATATGGGATGCTGCCGCACACTCTGACAGTGAGTGGCCAGCTGGGGTGAGCTGGGTGCCAGATTTGCTCTTGCCCTTAAGGTGGAGCTGTTTGTGCTGGAGCTCAGCCTGTGGGATCTGCTGGGAAAGCCCCATCCCTTGGGTGTGTGGCTGTGAGCGAGAGTCTCTCCAGAAAGACGTAAAAGGTTTCAGAGAGAACAATAATAGAGTATTTTTGGTGTCTGCTAGTGACTCAGTTCCTGAAAAACAATTAATTCTTTTGTTTTTTCCCATGGCTTGTTTGACTGGCTCCTGCTTCTTGTATCCTGTCTCTTACTCATTGTGTTTCCTGGTCCCTCCCAGGAGTCCTACAGGACAAGGATCTCTTTTCAGTGTTTGCAGACCCCAACATGCTGGACACGTAAGTTCACGTAAGCTGGTGCAGTGACTATGCCTTGCCTTTGTTGCACTGTTGTATTGTTCTTTCTCTCTGGGTGGGAGAGAGTTCTGCTGCTGCCTGCCAGTACAGATAACACCAGGCCAGAGATTCAGGATAGAACTTTTTCCTCAGCAGCAGAAAGGAGGGAGCTGGTGCTTTGATAGGCATCTGCCTCCACTGTTGGATTAAACCAAAGGATCTTTAGTGGGAGATGGGGCTATCGTCGCCTCCAGATCCCAGGTTCCAATCTGGATCTGATTGCTCACAGCAGAGAGTTGCTCCTGTAAGAGCATATGGGAAATGTATACGATGGGAGGGTCAACATGGGATCAAGAAGGAGCCTCAGCTTCTCTGGCTGTGTGGAGCAAGGTGGGGAGGTGCTTGCTGCTGGACAGCCAAAGGCGGTTTTGGAGGTGGTGTTGGCGCAGCTGGTGGGGATGGCTCTGCCAGTCCTGACCTAAGTTGGTATCGAGCTGCCAGTTTCTTTGTTTTCCTGCGCACATGATTCATTCCTCCACTCTTTCTCTCCAGGCTAATCCCAGCCCACCCTGCGCTTGTGAATGCCATTGTCCTTGTTCTGCACTCAGTGGCGGGCAGCACCCCGCTCCCAGCCCCAGAGACATCCTCCCGAGGCATGTCCTCTGGCTCCTACCGGGACATGCCAGGTACGTTCAGCCACACAGATGAGTGGGGAACCTGCAGAGATGATGTGCAGCAGGATTCGCAGACAAATCTGTGCTGTACTGACACAGCCATCCCCAGGCTAGAAGGAAGAGAGGTTTGGGTTCCTGAGCTAGGAATGTCTGTTGTGGTTTGATAGATTTTGTGCTGTGTGAGACTCATCCGGTCTGCTTCAGCCTCAGCGGCTCTCCCAGCTAAGCGTGTATAATGACTGTTGATAGCAGAGCACTGTGGCCTCTGTTTTGTGGAAATGATGGGCCAGACCTGTCTTCCACTGACCTGCTGCACGTGAACTTGTTGGTGCTGAGTCCTCTGTCCTAACGCAGTGCATCACTTGGGGCTGAGCCTGGCTTCATGGCCAAGGTCTCCACAGGGTTCTTGTCTGGTGCCTAATTCCTGCCAGCACCAGCTTTCTGCATCTGTTGATTCTCCTTTCTATTGCAGGTGGCTTTCTGTTTGAAGGTCTCTCTGATGATGAAGAAGAGTTCCACCAGGTAAGCGGCTGGGTTGGGTAGAATGACTGTTTTGGACTGGCCACATAGGTGTAACTCATAGCCGTTACAGACTCTGAAATTTTTTCTCTTTCTGGCTTATGAAGAGCCTAAGCCGCTCTGGCTTCTAGGGGTATTGTGGAGACAAACACATTGATTGTGGTGTGCTTGGATGCTGTTCAGATTAGGATTTTCTTGAGTGCTGAGGCGGGCTCACAACAGAAGAATGCGGAAGGACGACTCGCAACAGCACTTGTCCTCAGAGTAAACTCCTTCACAGTCAAATTGATGTTGAGCCAGAGTTGTGCACGGATGACTGTGGCTGAGAAGCATGGGAGTGCTGGTCCCTGCCCTTCTTTTGTAATGTAGGGAGGTTTTCCTCTCCAAAGGACAAAGTATTTTGTAAAAAGTTACATGCTTAGGCAAAAAAAGTGCCTGTCAGACATTAGTTGTTTTGTTATAGGCTAACAACAGTTTGGTTTTAAGCTGATGGATGATATATTAAAAGGTTTACTGCCAGTTTCCACAGCTTTGTAAAAGCTGTGTTTGTGGAAAAAACCACATCTGATTTAGTCATGTTTGTTTTTTAAAAGTTCTGCACTTGAGTTTCAAGTATTGCAGGAAAGGGATCCTCGGGGATGAGCATGAGAGCCAGATTTTAGTGGGACATGGACACCAACATCAGGGTTGTGGTTTTGTTGGGTTTTTCCCCTCTATGCAGAGCACGAGATCTACACCATCCAGCAGCACTTCTGGTTCCCGCCCAGCTTCCCTTGGCTACGCTGGGGCTGCTGGACCCCGGCCAATCACCCAGAGCGAGCTGGCGACCGCACTGGCACTGGCAAGCACCCCAGAGAGCAGCTCCCACACGCCCACTCCTGGCACCCAGGTACAATGGCAGTGCAGCAGCTAGGAAGATCCTCCTGGGCAATAAAACTGGTGCTTGACTGAGCGCAAACCCTGCTCAGGGTCCGGAAGTCCTCGCTGGTTTGTTTTCTTATGGCTGGGGTCTCCTCCATACAGGCTTGGAGGGCATGATAGTAGGAGTGCAGCCAGTGTTGCCTTGTGTTCCTGTGCCAAGTGTTCTCCTGATCCATATGCAACTTATTTCCTCCTTAGGGTCACTCCTCTGGGACCTCCCCAATGTCATCCAGTGTTCAGTCAGGAACACCTATCACCAACGATCTCTTCAGCCAGGCCTTACAGCATGCCCTGCAGGCCTCGGGGCAGCCCAGCCTGCAGGTCAGTGTTGCAACCTCTTCTTTCGGGAGCCCTTGAAAGCCCCTTATTGCATCAAGTGTTGCAGGGTGGAGGTGGTTCTTCCAGCTGCCTCCTGTGGCAGGTTGTTAATCTGAAAGGGGCATTGCTGGAGAAGCGGTGCTTGCAGGAGGCATGATAGACTGATGCAAAAGTACTGGGTGGAAGTGGAAGGGGTGGGCTGGTGGATTTAGGGAGTTTGCAGCTTTCAAGGTCCATTTGCATGCTTAGAATTGTACTTGAGAGCTAGAGAGAAGGGGAGTATCCAGTGTGGAAGAGTGAGCTGTGGAGAAGGCTGTTTTGTTTCTGCTTGGTCTCTCGCACCTACCTTTAGCTTCTTTTGTTTCTTGTCTTTAGAGCCAGTGGCAACCACAGCTTCAGCAGCTGCGAGACATGGGCATACACGATGATGAGCTAAGTCTCCGGGCCCTGCAAGCCACTGGAGGGGACATTCAGGCTGCCCTGGAGCTCATTTTTGCTGGTGGGGCTCCCTAGGTTTTTGGGCAGGAGAGGCTGGACTGGTGAGTTGCATTGAGGTGGCTGTGACATTCTTTGGTCTGGGACTCGGCCCCAAAACTCTTCTCTGTGCTGGGGTTCCTCTTTCCAGCATGGAGCACTTGGGGTGGCTGCTCCTTTCCTTGCAGGTGGGCAATGTGCTCCTGTTTGAGGGCACCGACCATGCTGAGGGCAGCTCCTCCAGCTCCAGATATCTCTCTCCAGCCTCCTTCTGGCCACCAGAGACCTCAGAACGTTGTCCAGCATGGAGAAAGAGGTGGCTCTGTGTGATGGGAGAGATGTGGCACCTGTGGTTCTGCAGTCTTAGATCTGTCAACGCATTCTCCCGCCTGTTGTTTCGTTCTTGTCTGCCTGACATGCCTCAGTCTACCTTGTTTTGCTGTTGTGGGTCCCTCTGTGTTTGACTGTATTAAATAGACTGTATTCACTTGCCTGTTGTTTGGGTTGTGATCTGTCCTGGGTTGTGTTCCAGATTTGCGAGGCAATGTGCTCATTGCATGAAAGAAACTGGAGAAAATGCTTTGTGAGAAAACGCTTTGCCTGTTGTAGGACTGTTCTCTCAGCAGAGGGCACTCCTCTTACAGAGCAAAGCTGTATCTGTTAGGAGAGCAGTGTCTGGGGTGTAGTTGACCCGCTTAGCCATCCTTAGGCCAACATAAAAGAACTATTTGTGCTACAGATTCTGTCCAAGAAGGTGCTGCAGAGAAGCATCATTTCTCCTTCTTAGCAAAAACCTATTTGTCCTCAGCTGTGTTGGGTGAGGCTGGTAGAATCCTGCAGGATGACAAGAGTACAGGTGCAGGAGTTTCACACAAGGTGACAGCAAAAAAAAAAGCGACAAGCACAATGGTTGAGGCAGTTGCCAGGGAGTGTGAGGTGCTGCCAAATGGCTTGGGAGAAATGCCTTCTCTGGCACAGGTTAGTCTGGCTGCAGCCAATGTTTTCCAAAGTGTCTTCTAACCCTGAGTGCCATGTTCGAGTTGCCTAAGACCTGAGCTGCAAAGACAATCAAAGGCATTTGCCTGTAATTACAGTCAGTGGCAGCTGAGAGAAGCCAGAACCAGAGCTGGGCTTGGCTTCAGTCAGATTGTACCACTGAGATTAACGAGGCATGAAAATGGGAGCTGGTTTGCCTGAAATGCCACCATGCATTAGTAGGGAAGCTAAAAGCAGAAAACGCTTTCCTACCTTTAGGCTGCCTGTGCTCCCCTCTAATTCCTCTCCAAGCGGCAGGACCGCATGCCGATACGATCTCAGCTATCACCCAGCAAATGCTGGATTGTTCTCTCCAGGGTATCCCCTTGACTGATAGGCTTTAATCCTGCCTAGAGGATTAAGCCCCTTGGGAGGGAGGGACTGTTTTTATTTTTCAATATGTAGGAGATAAGATGTGATGGATATAACTGGCTTTCCTGACTTGATACACCCTTCCAGGTTACTGCCCTCATTACCTGCTTTGGAAACCCAGTCCAGATGATGGTTGTGATTTTTATGTGTATGAAAACTGATTAATTTGTTCCTGTCCCTAGTGCCTTTGCTCTTTGCTTTGTAGGGGGAGCGGATAGTATACACACAGCATCCTCCCTCCCTTCCCCACTGTGGAGACAAGCCCTGCTGACAGCCCTCAATCCTCCTGGGCTAACTGAGGATTAGCTGTATCGCAGATGCTGCTGCCCAAAGCTGGAAAGCATTTGCAGGCTCTCTCAGACCTGCTCAGGGCTAGCAGGACTTGCTTTGGGACCAGGGTGACTAGTTTGCTTTGCAAATTAAATTCTCAGCTTAGGCCAGCTTGGGGTTCTGGTATTTCTTTTCTGTCCTGACCTTGCTCTTATGATTTGATCACTTTGTTGACCCACATTTTGTATTAAGTAGTTTCTTCTGCTATAATGGCTATTTCTGTTCCTCCTGTGTCCCCAGATAATTGAGAGTTGCCTGGATGTTTTGTATGGAAAGAACTTTCTTCCAATTTCTTTCACAAATTGCGTTACTTGGCTTGGAGTACCACATCAGACACATTCTCTGTCTGAATTGGCTATAGCAGAGAAGAACTTGGCACCGATGTTGTTCACGACACGACTGATGCGTGCGCTTCGCTTCCTCATCTCGCCTGCCTAGAATAGACGTGCTCAGCAACCAGGCAAATTTAGAGATTGCAGGGACGGGAAGAGAGGCTCTGCCTGGCACCTTGCAGGGCTGGTGATGGAGGAGGAGGAGGAAGGGAAACTTTGATGCGGGAGCTCTTGTAGGAAAGCAGAAGCTCAGAGTTCCTCAGAACTGGCTCTGCAGCAGCTAGGTGAGCGCTGCCTCCCCACCTGTTCTAATGGCCGAGTGCCTCCTGCCTCCCAGCTTTGAGATGAAAGCGCTGCTGGCAGCCACCTCCGTGTGCAGGGAAAGCTCAGCCAGCGCAGCCTCTGCTGCAGGGAGAGACTGTCCTGGGGGGACGCTGCAGGAGGCACGTGCTCATTTGACCAGCGAGACGAGCCCAAGGCTGCTGGGGAGCAGCTTAGGGACCTGGGGGTGTTCAACCTGGAGAAGAGGAGGCTGAGGGGAGACCTTATCACTCCCTACAACTGCCTGACAGAAGGGGGAAGCCAGGGGGATGTCGATTTCTGCTCCCAGGGAACGGGCAATAGGATGAGAAGAAACAGCCTCAGGTTGTGCCCGGGGATGTTTAGGCTGGACATTAGGAAAACCTTTCTTCACTGAAAGGGTTACCAGGTATTGGAAGGGGCTGCCCAGGGAAGGGGTCAAGTCCCCATCCCTGAAGGTATTTAAAAGCCAGGCAGACGAGGTGCTTAGGCACATGGTTTAGTAGTGGACAGGTATGGTTCAATTCGATGATCTTAAAGGTCTTTTCCAACCAAATGATTCTATAATTTGGAGAGCCCCTTTGCCTGGGGTTAGCAGCCTAAATGTGGCTGATGGGGATGTAGCGTGAGGTCTCTTGTCCAAGACGGTTGTCCTGACTTCTACAGTCATCGGAGGAGCCTATGTCCCAAGAGAGAGATCAAACAAAACTGGAATGACTCTGGGAGATGCTGATACCTGTTGCTTGCTGAGTAAGCATCTAAGTCTGGGCATGAACTTGTCCGTGGCTGAACACGACAGATTCTGCTCTTTGGGAACAAATTGCAGTGTGCCACCTCCCACCTGCCCGTTTCCTGTGGTCCATCCATGGTGCCACTGCCCTGACGCCTTCTCCTCCTCCTTGCTGCTTCCATGCTCAGGTTAGAGGTGCATCCGTTCTTGTTGGGTCTCGGTGTATCTGTATCCTGCCTGCATGTGCAACCTCCACCACTCTCTGTTCGCCAGCCAAGTATTTGTGGCCTGACCACCTCACCGGCACTGCTGTGGGAGTGGACTGGGAGGTGTTTGTCTGACCCTTTGGAAGAGGTGGAGGTCAGACCATGGTTCCCCAACGTAAGCACTTTCAGTAGGGACTTTCTGGTTCTGACATCAAAGAGAAATTTTTGGTTCAGTTCCCTCTTTGCCATAGTGGATCTGATAAGGGAAGCTGTAACAGCGGGTGTTTTCAGTAGCGATGGTAGCAGCTGTTTGTACTCCTGTGTTTTCGGTAACCTTTTTATTTGTTCTGGTGCTTGACTGTTGATGCTGGCGCACTGCGGACACCTGCAGAGGTTGGCAGTTTGGCCGGGATCTAGGTTCCTCACCATATGTGCCCTGCTTTTCTCCTTTGGCCACTTTGATGGCTTTTTCACCGTTTCTGCCTTGTTTCTTGCTGCCTAAGACAGCCCTGAGCTGACTCTCTCCATGAGAAGCAAAGCGGTGTTGAGTGGGGGGGTAATTTTCCAGCAAAAGGGTGAAACGGAGACAGCAGAATCTCCCAGGCTTTGTATCCCTGATGGCTTTTGCAGCTTGTGTGATTGCCCACCTCCATCTGTCTTCTGCTTTCACAATGATGCTGGAGCTTTCCTGTGTGTGAAGTGAACATGACTGGCAAGATCCATCCCAGGAGCAGATGTGGATGTTTGTTTGAGGTATTAATTGCTTCTGCACAGAAGCAGTCTCTCTGGTGTGGGCATGCTTGGGTGGTTTGTTGGATCAGATTGTAAACTGCCAAAGTTTCAACCTTTTCAGCCTTGATTTCTGACTTCAAATGTGTTTTAGAGATTTCCCCTCATCCTCCCATGTCTCCCATTTTTCAGAATAAATGTTTTTTTTTTCCTTGCTCCCCCAGCCAAACAGAGGCTCTGAGTGTTCCCTGCTTGCAGGACCCTGGCACAGGAACCGATTCCTCTTCTGGGCAAGGCAGCAGAGCACCTTAAACCAGCATTGCTGTTTTGTCCAGCTCCATCCACAAAAAAATGTGTGGGAGCCAGAGGACTAACGGTCGCTGTGCTCTTGTTCATCACAGACATCTGTACTGAGCTGAGGGAACATCGTTTTCTTCTCCCCAGCATGGCATGGGGCTACACACCTTGGCCACCCAGCTCCTCTCTGGCACGTTAATTCAGAAGATCGGTGAAGGTGACTTTCTCCAGTGCTACAGGATGCAGCAGCTCAGCATCTCCCTTGGGATTTGCTAGGGCAGGAGCAAGCTTGGGCAGCCTGGCAGGATACATCCCTGTCATCTACAGCAGCAAGGAACTTGTCTGGCAGAGCCCTTGCCCATCGGCTTGCTTTCTTTGCAAAGAATTTTGTGCTTTCCTGGCTGCTTCAGCTTTGTCCCTGTGGGGAATGCCAGAGGGTCAGGAGACACATAACCGGTTTTAGTTTTTCTTCTTAAATTAGCTTTGTGCCGGTTCAGTGAGCTGTCTCACTGTGGGGGACAGGCTAGTGCCAGGGCAAAGGGAAGAGGGGGCAGTGGGGCCTGGTGGGATTTCCTTGGCAATAATGAAATCTTGGTCTTACTCTTTCTCAGGGAAACTTTGGAGGAAGGAGGAGAGAGTGTTACTGATGCTGGGACAACTGATCAGGAAGGAATAAGGTGAGAGCTCAAAGATCAGGGCAGGTGACACAGTGCAGCTTCCCAGCAGCCTGTGTCCTGTGGGACTCGGTCCCTTTCCTAGCATGAATCAGTATTTTTTCTTTAGAAGTGACGAAAGGGGATCTCTGTGACTTTATCACCAAAGCATCCTTTTAAGGAACTGTGCTTTGCAGTCCCTGTGATGCCAACTGGAGAACAGCACAGTAAACCAGGGCATTTTTAAGGCAATGGACTCTATTTTAACTTGGTGAAAGCAGAAATGTACTGAAAGTGTCACACTGAAAATATTTCTATTTCCTAATATTTTCTTCTGTATTTATAGTATTCTAATATTCATAAATCACAGTGTTTATGAGTAATCCTTTGACTTATAGTAGTGCATGTAGCTCTAGTTCTGCCTTACAAGGATGCTTGAGTTTAAGAGTATGGTAAGCGAAAGGAAAATTCAGAGGGGAGATGATAAACATCCCCTGATATAT